GGGGGGGGGGGGGGGGGGGGGGGGGGGGGGGGGGGGGGGGGGGGGGGGGGGGGGGGGGGGACTCATATATGCTTTTGCATGCCTTACCGGTTAGATCCTTGACCATGCATCCTCGAGGGGACGGGGAGGGAAACTATGTTGGCGACAAGGAAAAACTGTGGGGACGCGCATTGAAAACAAAGCACTTCCGAGGAAAACGACTGGTACCTCACAGTATTGCGTGCGGCCGCAACAGCAAAAATAAGACAAGACCCGAGAATCCCAAGACGACGGCCGCATAAAAAGTCCCACGCACTGCCAAGCGTCGGACAGATCGATCGATCGACCGACCGACCGACCGACCGATCGACCGATCTCACAGGCAACACAATACAAGACCCACAACAAACGGCAACGATTACACGACAGCACGCCCCAAGCACTGACAAGCGTCTGACAGATCGATCGATCGACCGAACGACCGATCTTGCAGGCAACCCAACCCAAGACCCACCACAAACAACAACGATCAAACGACACCAAGCCCCAAGCACTGCAAAGCATCAGACAGACAAGACCGACCGGCCGACCGACCTTGTAGATGTGCTCAGCGGGGTCGTTCGGTGCCACCTCCGCCGCCGAGGCAGAGCCCGATCGACCGTCCTTGCCGGCACCCTTGGCCACGATACCGGTGGGCGCGGCCACTTCTTCCACTGAGTAAAAGAAAACAGACAAGAACGAGGAGTACGCGCATGAGTATGGTATGTACCAGAGGAAACTACCACTTTCCTCCCCTGAGAACTATTAATAGACAAGGACGAAAGTACGCGCACATGTTTCGTATTAGAGGAAACGGCCGCTTCATCCACTGAAAAATAAAGGAGACAAGGAAAAGAAGCACGGGCGTGTGTGTGTATAGAGGTAACGGCCACTTCCACCGTGACATGGACAAGGACAACATGCGCATGTGCGTTGAATGTAGAGGAAACGACCACTTCCTCCACTGAAAAAGAAAAGAGACAAGGAAAAGAAGCACGGGCGTGTGTGTGTGTAGAGGTAACGGCCACTTCCACCGGGACATGGACAAGGACAACATGCGCACGTGCCTTGAATGTCGAGGAAACGACCACTTCCTCCACTCAAGAAGAAAAGAAACAAAAGGACAAAGAGGACGCGCATGTGTACGGCAAGACGACTTGAGAAACAAAATTGGCCGTGGGGTAGGGTGTGTTTCAGTATTGTTTAGGATACAGTGGCGGGTACGGTTTGAAAGAGATTACTTAAGAGAAAATGCCGATTTAACAGCGTCAAACTGGCTTGTCACGACCATGAGATATACATGCATTTCACAGAACGGCCCAAGAGAAAACCGGATTTGAGAGAGAAATACTGGCTTGTCCCGATCCTCTCTGAAACCGTGTAGCCGCCACTGTATGCATATTCCCGTTTTTCATTCTTGGGCGCGTCAACAAGCGCAGAGGGACACGCGTGACGTCACCGACAACGGCAGGGAAAGGGGCACCTGAAAAAGCTGCGCTTGTGGGAGGGAACACAGCGGGCAGCAATGGTGTGGAGGTCGGAGACGGTTTACCCTTCGAGCTAGCTGGTCTTATGTCGGTAAGAATTCTCGTGGCGTCTCCCGACGTCATGGGCTACTGATCGACTAATTTCCACCACGGCCAATTGGTTGGGATGGAATTTCAGTACGGCCATATTTTTGGTGAAAAGGATGGTAATGGTTATGGCCGTGAATGTTTTGGGGGTGACACCAAAGGCACAAAAAGGAATGTCAAGAGGAGGAGCCAAACTGTCGAGGCACAAAGTCACCAAGCGATCACACGCAAGTCGTGGTGGGAAGGCCAAAACGCGCAATATATCTCGATGTGTGCGTGTGTTCGTAGCAATAAATAGTAGTCTGGCACCAGTCTACACCCTCGGTGTATATGCTTGGCGTATTAGCCGTGGGTCGCGGAAGAGGAAAGTCATCCAGGGATTTTCAACATATATATGCACTTCGAAGCATCTTGTTATTTCTGGGTAGAGAATAAATGACGCGCATCAGGCAGGCGCATTGCGTGTGCAGGTAGAGCACAATGGTAATGGTAGGCAACAGGAAGGCCCATTGCGTGTGTGACACCGTTTTGTTCGTCGGGGGTGCTCAAAACCTCGATACTGGATGTCGACAACGAGGACAACGATTGAATCCCCCCTCCCACCCCCCTAACAAAATAGCTGACCGCCGGGGCTGTGCACGCTCCATACAAAAGCATGCGGGTGCTCAGATACTCCAGGTAGCACGGGCCAGCCTAAACACGCCCCGTTAAACATCGAGGTGCGCTCAGGTGCCCAGACCCGTAGTAGCAGGGACCAAAAAACACAGGAGAAAATGAATCGTCTGTTATCTCACCTACGGGGAGCGACGATAGCACGAGAGGCTGCCCGGCTGTGGCCGGCATGTGCTGGTGGTAGGCCTTCACCGCCTTCTCCAGGGAAGAGAAGCTCATCGGGAGGGCCTCAAGAAGCAGGTGAGCCCTGTTGGCGTTTGTGGAAGCGGAGGCGCGCAGGCGCGCGAGAGAGATATAGATAACGTGGTTGGTTTCTGTATCCCCGAATCCTTCAGACCACCGGTGTGGAACACAAGAAACTCATGCCCCATGCTCTCGCATGGGTTTTTGGCACAAAAACCGTTGAGGTTTGGTGGTGCGCTTCGTGAAGTCTGCAGGGAGCCAGCCGGCAACCAAACAAAAACTTTGACGACGAAAGTGTCCAGCGTTGCAACGACATGGGCCCCGGGGGGGTTGGCGTGCTCTGCCGCAGCAGCAACACGTGTCATCGCACGATAACGCTCCGCGTCTGGCCATTGCACCGCCGCGAGAGGTTTGTCACAGCAACAACCCATACCATCGCACCGACATGTGGAGTAGAAACATCGGGAAGGTTTCCAGCATACGGAGGCATCTTGCGCCTCGGGAGCGGCAAACAAAACACCGAAAGCTTTACTCTGCACACGTGACGCCTCCCCCCAAGTGCCACACCCCACGTGCCACACCCCCTGCTCTGCTACTCCGGTAGGCCAACAACGCCACCGGCACACTCACGTGGTTTGCTTCCCCAGAGGGGGCCCCGTGGTGGACGGCCCATCCCCCTTAATTTCCTCTGCGCCGTGCCCCCCCTCCACGAGGGCATCGGCACCGGCCTCGTCCTCCCCGTCGCTGTCGCCCAGGAGGGTTAGCGCTACCGTCGCCCGATCGCGGACCTGTTTTTTACGTCGTATTGGCGGGGGTTGGTCATGGATGACAGTAGCGCCCGGTTTGGCGAGCCCAGGAGGGAATCTGGTTGCTATTCAGGGCAGGTCGCTACTGCCCGAACAGTGACTAGTTGTTGGGGTGCGGTGGCGGTGCCAAGCGAATTCTTGTGGTCGCTATATTCGTACAGGGCACGTCGCTGAACAGGGGCATGTCGTTCAACCTGGCGCACCACGTTCGTGAGAAGCAACTCGGGCTGTCAGGAGTCACTGTCACACGTACGTCCCCCAACGAGACCGTGGGATATCTCGGGGAAAAAGGAGGGACGCGAAAACATGGTGTGGAGATACAAGTACTCCAAGTAAAAAGAAAAAAGAATGCCGTCGTTCCAGTCTCAACAGCAGCCGTACCGCCGACCACAGAAGTATTTTAACGTTTAACGACGATCCGGATAACGACCAAAACATGGAGGCAAAACGAAGGATGTGCCATTAGGCAGGGGGAAACAGGGATGTTCGACGGCACATATCTCGACCATCCTCCTCCGGCAGAAATTTCCACGACAAAGAGGACAAACACATGTACAGCAGTGTGGAGAAGTGAGGGGGGGGCATCAATACCCCGGATGGAGTCGCTTGGCACACGGTTAACCCGCACAAACAGAGCCTCCCCCGCCACCGCTGTAAAAAGAAGCCTCCCATGCGATCTCACGACCCTTCGCGCTTGGTGACATGAGAGCCTGGTCCCGCGAGAACTCGGCGTGCTCCGTCCCAGCTTTCGAGGGGTGTGAGGTCAACGGTCTAACGACTACGGCATGCGCGGCGATGAGTACAACCCCAAGTACGAGCGGGCACGAATCGCGTTCACCTCGTCGTCTTCGTCCAGCAGCGAGCGCTTGATGAGCACGCGGATGGAGGGTCTGAGGGAAGGCAGCCTGGCGGCGAACTTGGCGAGGGCGGGCACCGCGGCGGCGCGTACCGCCGCGTTCTCCAAGATAACCCTGCGGAATAAATAAATACATCCAGGACAAAAAAAAAAGAAAAAATCGTGTGCTCAATGGAGACGACAACACCAAGCCAAAGTTGCTGTCGAACTTCGTTGTGTCAGCAGCAGACGAAGTCGGTTTTTCGTGCCTGATTGTTGAGAAGCACTTGGGCGACTATCAACCTTCTCCAGGATGGCCAAGCGGAATTGTTGCTTTTGCTGATGTTCTTGTTGTCCTGGCATCAAAAACCGTCCCGGTCTCGGCCCGGTAAACTTCTACATACCCGTACCGGTCCAACTGACGCGGACGAACAAGTCCAGAAAACAAAAAATACATATTCTCAATGGGGACGAAAACACGGCAAAGCTGCTGCCGAGCTTCGGCGTTCGAGCAGCACACGAAAACTCGGTATTTCGTGCCTGGCGACTCTCAAGTAGGTGAATCTCGGACGTCTACGAGTGTGTGATGTTACTCGTGGAGGGATCGAGTATTATTCTCTTTTGCGGGGGAACCTCACAAATGTGCAGTACCTAGCATGGAAGATTGCGCTGACCGCGGGGGGGCGCTTTTCATGCAAAAGTGGATCGGTTGATATATTGTCCAGTTGGTCCAAGGGCTGTTGTGCAGGACGTTGGACTAGTGTGGAATGTTTGTAATCTTCAGTCAACCACTGCTGTGGACGACATCTGTTCGACTCCAAGTCGCCTGCCGTTTCCACGACAGCCGTGATCTGCGAACATATTCATATCACCCAGCACACCATTTATCAGTACAACGCACCCTGCTCCGTTTGGACGAATCGGATGTGCGAGTACACCACCCGTGTTTCCCCCCGAGACAAAATAGCCGCAAAATCGTCTTGTGCTGTCTCATGTGTGTACAAACAACGTTGTTCGTGAGTCGAAAGTCGTCGCTGTTTTCATGCAAACTACCACAGGTAGACGAGTGAATGCGATATTGAAAATTAGGGTCACCTGCAAACGAATCTGATGTATCGGGCGCGGACATGAGAATACAACGTAGAGCCTATCGTAGATGAATCCGACATTTTCAATACAGGCAGTAGAAAAATAGGGCCACCTATTGCAGACGAATCTGATGTATCGGGTGGGGGCATGAGAACATAACGTAGAGCCTATCGTAGATTAGGTCCGACAAATCACTGTAGGCAGTAGAAAAACAGGGTCACCTGTTGTAGATGAATCTGATGTATCGAGCGGGAGCCGACGTGGACGGGCCCAGCTCCCCCACGAGGCTGAGGATCTGCGTCGACAGGGCCGTGAACTCGCAGTCCTCGATGAAGTCGCAAAGGTGAAATAGAGACATCTCCTGCAAAGGTCGCACAAAGGTCGCACAAGAACAGCGTAGACAGACAGATCAGAAGGTGTGACGAGCTGTAGAGTTTGAGCCACGTTGAGGGCTTAGCGGGGGGGGCTCGTGCACGGTATTCCGTGGACGTTGGGCGGGCGAGAGCAGAGACAGGTACACAAAAAATGTTCGAGAAGGAGACTGGTCAACCCTAGCGCTGCAGCTAACCTTGACGGGGTGTCTTCCGCCAGAGAGGAATCTATAATAGATGGCAGCCAAGAGCAAGTTCTTTCCTTCTTTCTTTAGTCTTTGCAGGGACCACCTGGCTAGCAACAATGACCTGTTTGCAGGGGTTACATGTACGCCGGCAGAACTATCGCCGCACGTTTCTGATTTCGTGCCACCGTCGCCCTCGGCGACAAAAGCTCTCCGAACAACGCAGGCAGGCAGCTTTGTAGAATGTTTCATTGCAACACTCGAAACAACTTCAAACACCAAACCACACACAATCCTCCAAATCTGCACGCACTCCGCCCCGGTATCGAACAACCGACTTCAAGAATGCACCACAAGACCAGATGGAATACAGTTGGCGCCCGGTCTAGTTTCGACCGAGGCTGGGGTTCTTCGTTCCAAGGGATATGCCATGCATGGCGGCTACATACTCCTTAGTGTAGGTGTTCTTCACCAAGCTCACGAATGGTGCTCAAGTTCCTAGAAATTGAGCAGGCTAGATCATTTTCTTGACGGCCGATTCCTGAAGTGCGCGTGCTAACTGTAATAGACAGTTCGCCATCAAACACACAAAACACACACGAAAACACGAAAAGCATGCCTTTGTCTCCGGAATGGCGGTCATGAGCTCGACGATGCAGTCCGTGATGGCCTTCTTGAACTCGAAGCCCCCCTCTTCCCTCAGGAACGTGGCCAGGAAACCCACCAGCACGCGGTGCTTCAGCGGGTACTTGAGGCACAGCTGGCAGATACCGAACAAAGAGGGGCAAGGGTTACGTCGACAAAACGGAGGCGGGGAAAAGCAAGGTGCGTCCGGTCACCCGAGGCGCGCGGTGGGGTGAGGACAACTGGCTGGCACACTGGCATGACACACAGCGCACAAACACACACAGCATACTCCGCTGCTACGGTTTTTGTGTTAAATCCGGAGAGCAGCTTAGCCTCCTCCACGACCCCCCCTCACGGGGTCCCAGATCATGGCCTCCTGATAGCATTTTCTCTTCTCAGGCGCACTGAGTTGTTCATTGGTAAGCCGGTTAGCGCGGTCGATGCTATCCAAACACACAAACACACACATACCTGACGGATAGCCTTAACGACAACGATCTTGAACTCGTCGGCGATCTCGTTCATGAAGGAGGAGATCTGCTTCATCAGCCGGTCCACCGACCCCTCGGAGCCCGTTTTAAGCAGGGTTGTGATGGCCAGGGTGGCGATGGACCTGATCTCTCGCGCAGGTATGTACAGCAGGTCACAATTCATCATCTTCATGGTCATTAACGTACACACACGACAACAGCAACATCAATCACAATATCAGAGCAAAACGGCTTGGATACCACCAAGATAAAACGGAAGGGATACATCGGACATCGGACAAACACCTCCGCGTCAGAAATTGCGCTCGAGCGTCCTTCCTAACTTCCTCAGTGGGGCCGCTCTCGCCATGGATAAAGCTGGTCGGTCGTTCGGGTGCCATCCACGCTATACTACGAGACACGAAGCAAGTTATACATACCAACACGTCTTGACTGCCGCTGGAAAAATCTCCTAGACTGAATAATCTGCGTGGACTGAAACAAAATTGTCCTGAAAATCTTGTGGACTCAAGTCTCTTCTTGCAGTACACCGTAGCTGCTAGACTCAAATATCTTCCAGACTGAAAAAACTACTGTGATCACTCACCTGTTAGGGTCGGAGATGAGCACCTCCATGTCCGAGTTGCACTTGAGGATGCTCATGGGGTACTTTGCGGCCACCTCGCTCAGAGTGCGCATCGTCCCGAACTTGAGAGCGGGCTTCACGGAGGTCAAGAACATCTGATGATGGCAAAGGCAAACAAGATAGATACACACGCGAGCCACGATGACGCGTCGGGGATAAGAAGAATGCTATGCATATCACAAGGCGGAAAACCAGCCAAGCATCCAGCCGCTCTCCTTCCATTCACCGAGACTACTGATGTCACATCTCAAACAGGTACCCAGTCTCTCTTTGATCGTACGATGAATGTTTTCTGAGACGGGGGTTCGAGACAAGGATATGGGTGATAGACAAGTTGATGATGATGTTGCGCGAATGCTGCTGACGAAGGTGCCAGGGGCCCTGACCACGGCTCAAGAGAGCGAACATGCGCACGCATACCACGTAACCATGCGACGGGCAAAAGGCAGAGCGGGCAAATGGCATACATTGTACCACGTTTGAACAAAAAAAAATACAAAAAAAAAACTTGCACACGAAAGGTCGATGCCAACATAATAATAGACATATCAACTGTTTGAAAATATAAAAACCAGGCTGATGATACAAATGTGAATGCATCCGAAAGGTGCCTATTTTCCGAAACAAGGTGGTACGTACACCACAACGGCAATGTCAGACGCGGCAGGCGGAAACGACGGTCGGACCTGGAGCACGTTGATGGCGGGGGAGAGGTCGTTCATCTCCACCCCAGGGAGGTTGCAGATAGCCCGGGCCGCCTCGTACATCACCATGTCGGACCGGTGGCGCAGGGAGCTCTCCAGGAACTGCCAAAAAAAAAAACGGCAACCACATCAACAATAACCTTCCGACTGCCACTGGTTTTATCTCCAACTGGTGGTATTTCTGTGTTTCATGCGTCGTCGTCTCAAAAGCAAAGACGCAAGCACAGATAGAAGTAAGTGGGATGGGATGGGCGGGAGCGTATACACAGCACCTTGTAAGGTAAAGAGAGATGTAAATGAGAGCACCTACAGTGATTACTCACAGGGACACGCTCAAGGAACTGCAATACTTTTGTGTATCCAAGACGGAGCCGTGCAGGCGCAGGGCGACGACACAAGAAGAGCGACCAGCGCGAGAGAGAGGCAGACGTGGATGCTGTCAAAAAATCGAAAAAAATAAAATAATAAAATAACAAAACGTAAATAGTATTAATAAATAGTGGATTTTCCGCACAAAACAAACAAGCCAGTCAACGACGCAGCGGAATGTCTCAGATATATGGTACGAAACATCAAAACATGATGCCAACAAAGGTAGGACGAGAAAGGAAAGGAAAGCGTGCCTGGTAGGCTGCCCGCGCGTTGGTGGCCGAGATATCGTCGTGGAGGATCTTGCTCATGTAGCGGATCAACAGGCACACCGCCAGCGGGCTGCGCATCGGACTCTTGGACAGCTGGGTCACCTGTGTTCGAAGAAAACCGAACCGACGCCGCCGGCCGTGATGCGGGATGGGGTGCGACTTACTCCAAGAACACAACACAAGCAGACATACGCTTCTAGGCGGAAGTAGATGAAGCGACGGTCTCTCGTGAGGCAAGGCAGGCAATCGGGCACGCTTGCCCCGCCGAAATATACTGACTTCCCAAAACTGAAACAAACAATCCTTGACAAAATAGCCAAAACAATCTTGAAACTAAAGAAAAAAAAACTCGATAGTTTTGGTCACATGGTGTGTCGTCTGTGCTCCCCATACAGTGGTAGGCCTTGGACAGTGCCGGTTTCCTCGGCTTGCGCACACTGAAATACCGAGTCGTTCTGTACTTCAAATCGTGCCGGTGTCCGGTATAGTGCCGATATAATATCTAGACACATACCGGCACTATACAGGGCCGACCCAGTATCGAGTCTGCTGTACAAATGGCTCTGTATGTACTTTTCGTGTCCCGTGCTTGCAGTACAACGCGCGCTCTATCTTGTCTCGGTATGTCGCCCAAAGCAGCGGCGGAAAGCCCAGGGGGCACTCAAGGGAAAACGTAAGCGTTCTTTGGCATTGCAAGTGCTCTCCTGCAAAAGCGGCACCGAGCCCTTATAACAAGTTGTACACTTTTTTCATCTAGAAGGGAGTATTGCAAGGCTAACCGGTCAGCAACGACAACCGAAGCTATGCGCAGAGCACGGTGCACCGCACAAATAGCCATGTTCGAGCCAGCCGGTAGAGGCTGTCAATATTAATACACATCCAAGTCTCACCAGCTTGGACACGGCGAGCTTGTCGTGGGCCTTGATCTGGTAGAGCAGCGACAGGGCATGGTACTGCACCATCTCGTGCTGGGAGCTCACGCCCTCGGTGACCTCGTTCACCCACCGGCGAACCACCTTACGCCGGACATGAAACAAGAACAAATGCAGCAGCAGCAGCAGCAGCAACAGCAGCAGCAGCAGCAGCAGCAACAGCAACAGCAACAGCAGCAGCAACAGCAACAACAAAAGATCGGCAAAAAGGGTGTGTTAATGTTCTCCGCAACGCCGTTCACCCGAAAACTACACGAGAAAAAAACGAGCCAAGGGAGGGGCAACCAAGGCAACAAAAACAACCTATACCATCGGGAATGTCGTGCCACGGAAAGATATTGCCTACAAGTTTTGAGATACCACCTGCTTCCGACACGTTGCCGTACCAAACGCGGCTCTGCTGTTCTCCACAACCACCCAAGCAAGTTACACCACCTCTAGGGTCCTTCAAAGGAACGATACCGCTCACAAGGTATGGCATACGACCTGCTTCCGCGACACATGGTCGTTACAAAAGCGACCGGGATACGACTTACTTCAGGGCTGATCTTATAGAGGAGGATGCCGGACACGAGGGCCGAGCTCGACACCAGAGAGTTCTTGTCCACGATGGCCTGCTTCAGGTACCTGTCGCGCGAGTTCATCGGTCATGTTAGAAGACAAGCTCCTCTAACATATTGGCTCATCCTTGGGTAGTTGGCCTCGTGAACACGGAAGGCGTCCGCGTGAGTCGGACCGGTGCGGATATTACGAGGTACTGAGCGGAGACCGGCACGGTTTGCAATGGGGACATACAAGCAACAGCAACAGCAACAACGGGACAACCGGCTGTGCTAATGCGGCCATTTACACAGCGACCGCTACAGTCAGCTCTATGCCTTCGTAGAACAGCTCGTAAAAAACACCCAAGAATCGCTCCAAGGCAAGGAGCAAGAACAAACATGGCCTCACCTCTCGATGGCCCCTAGCATCGTTGCGTCGATGATGCGCGACAGCACCCGGATGGAGTTGGCCCGGTAGAGGTCTTCGGAAGAGTTCATGTCCTTCGTCAGGCTCGACGTTACTGTTGGTGTTCGCGTAGGAAACAGCAAAGCAAGCGCGCGGCGGCGGCGGGGGGAAGTGTTGCTGTTGCATCAATATTATTTTTGTTGTAAGATGGTCGCATCTTCTCGTTGTCGGTGTTGTTGCCGCCGCTGACCCTCTCCCCCCTCCTCAGCCCCTCAGTTGTTGCCACCGCATTTTCAAAATTGTTGTCAATGATAATGGGCTTTGAGTCAAAAACACATGTGTGGCATAATGTATACGCGCCAGTTCCTTGGTATCCCGCACATATGTTCGGGGTCACATTTCTCACACCCCCTTCTCGATGAAGCGACACCAAGTCCGTCAACAATACGTTTCCGAAAACCACGGCTGTTCGCAACAAGACCAAGAACCACTTCGTGATTTGCTGACGCAATAAATCCACACAGCAGCAGAATCCGAAACCACTTGGACTAGAGAACAACGCACAACAAACGAACAACTGCTGCTCAACGCAATTCGCACGTGGCTGCGTGGAGTAACCTATTGATGTCGCTTTCAACCCATTCGACTTGGCAGCGCTGCCTATGGTCCAATCGTTTGATTTCGGCTTCCAAAAATAGCTCTCTCAGCCTGGGTTGTATCAAACCACTGATAGATTGGTCGGCGCAGACTTGTCGGATGGTTCGATTTCGGCTTCAATTGACCCCCTCACCGATGATGACGTCATCTGGGTCACACGTTTCCGCCACCTCCTTGATGAAGAGGTACATCATTCTCCTCAGGTTGTGGTCCTGGCTCTGGAACAGCTTCGTCACCCCGAAAAACACCTGAGGGGGAATGCGGGGCAATGCGGAGCAAAGTATTTTTTAATGCCATGCCGTCTATTTTGGACGTCCGTCTTAATATACTTCGGAACAATTTCAAGACGCACCTGCAGGAGTCACGCAGGAGGAAGGCCAAACAGGGGTTCATGGGCGGCCTAGTAGATATAACTAGGAATACGTACGTGGGACAATGAGACCGCCGCACGATGCCAACGAAACGCAAGTCACGGTTGCAGGTGGGGAACAAACTCATGACAAGCACGGCTCGCTCCGAACAAAAAAGGGCACGCTACACCTGTTTTGTAAACTAGAAAAACGGCCACCGAATGAACGCGTGTAGGGTCGTACAAAGGTAAATAACGTCAATCCCAGTGCCATACAAGGTGGCGCTTACAAAAGCAGAATAAAACGGAGATTCGCCCTTGAGGCAAAACCATCAATAGCCTTAGTGGGGGTAAGACCGGTGGTTTGTCCAAGAACACAAGAAACGCAACGACGACACACTCTCGTGGCAAAACAACACCATCAATCAATCAATCAATCAATCAATTATTTCCGTGCTTTCTGACGACCACAGGCACGGCGGTTTGCACAAACATAAATAAATAAATGAACAACGCATTCTCGTGGCAAAATCATTGACCAATCAAATCAATCACCTCCGTCGTTTCGGACGAAGACAGCGTCTCTCCGGTGTTGAGGATGTAGAGCAGCTTCGTGATGAGCATCCCGCACCGGCGGGGGTTGTTGGTCACCACGTTGCTGTCGCTGAACACCCTGCCCTCCTGCAGCACGGTCGCCTTCTCCAGGTCCTGGTACGGAGAGACTGGGGGTAGACGTGTTTCGAGAAGGGAGGTGGGGGGTGGGGT